TTGATGCATTTGAAAATATTTTCGAAAATCAGAGTTAAAGTAGAAATAAAAATGACTTATTTAAAAAGAAATCTGAAAAACTAAGTTAAAAACATAATTTTCAAAAGTTTAGCCACGTAGACCGTCACGTCAACAGCGTGGCCAGTCCCTGCGCCACATGGCAGACACATGAACACACGTCCATGCGGACGATCTGCGTACCAACAGATCCAACGGCCCAGATGCGTTTTCTCTTCAAGCGCAATCGAATGGTTGGATTTAATCAGATCGTACAGGTTAGATTAATTCTCCAAATAAAAGAGATCCAACAGCTAAAGATAGATCACGTCACCTCGAACGGACAATCCAGATTTAATGAAGAAGAATATTTAAACTTCTCTTCGAATGGAACCAAAACCTTAGCAGCCAGAAGGGGGATCAAAGAAGAAGAAGAGAGGCGGCCGAAAAAGTAAACCAAACGCTGGAGAAGGAGATCGGCCACCGTCACCGCCGCACGGGAGCTACCGTTGACGCCAAAAAGGTAAAAATTTTCTCCCTTCCGCTTGGAATTGAATTCCAAACCTCCCCACGCCCATATCGGAGCCGAAAGACCAACGAGTGAGCCAGAAAATGCAAGTGGAGCTCGGCCGAGTTGTCGCGGCCAAAATTCAAAAATTCTTTTGATGAACCCTTTTTCGTTTCTCGTTTCTATCAATTTTTTTACCATCATGGCCCTCGTTTCTTTCTGGTGCAAGTTAGCCGAAGAAAAACCTCAACTGCAAAAAAGGAACGGTGGAGCCGTCGCATCGGGTGGGGTCTCAGTTTTGTTCTTTTCCGACCGACAGAGACTCCCTAACCTTGTTTTTCGCAGGTTTCCATACAAAACCGGCTGAAAACGATCAGGTCAAAAGGAACCACCACCGTGTTGGAACCCTAAACCGGCCAAAAAAAATTTAAAAACACTTATTTTAGCCTTTTTAAGGTATTTTTTTGTTCCGTAACGCATATTTTTGATTCCTGCAGGAAAAGTTCAGGAAACCTAGGAACTGTTAGGAGGCGCAATGAAAAGAACGGTATTTCAAACAGCGATTCAAGATAAAAATCTCTCACATTTTTCCTGTCATGGTAAAGTAATGTTTAATAATTAATAACGGTATGTTTTGTAAAAATTAAAAAACCTTAAAATTAATTACAGGTCACCAGCGAAACCGTTAACTAAACAGTACAAAATTACCTATTTTGTCTATACTGTTTATCTATTGCTAGGACATATTTCTTGACTTGCCGCATGCACTTTTATTTATACATTTATTTGTCCTCTCGTTATTGATTGCTTAACTATTTCTCTCAAATGTTGATTGATTGAAATAAATATCCTAATTACGTTTTCTTAATTTACGTATTGTCTATTTGCATGATTTACTATTGATTGGTAAAAATGAGATGTTGGTATGTGATTGGTGATTGGTTGATGGTATGAAACATATGAATGGTTTATTGGGTACACTGGGGAAGGATGTACGTACTCGTTGCATAGGAAAAATTCTATCATTGACATTATCTCAATCGAACGCGGCTGAGAAGTCCCATACCAGAAGGGGTTGGAAGGTATAGTACACCATCATAACAGACAGAATATTGAAGTGGTAGTATATTTGGCGCCCATTACCGGATAGGGTATGGTGACAACCGGTTAATCGATAAATTGAATATTGGGTCCACGCGTAAGGAGGATCCCTATGGATCCCTAGAGATACTGGTAAACAAGTAAGAAGGTAAATTTGTTGTTATTGCTCATTTGAATATGTAATCAAAATGTTATTCGAGTTATTGTCTTCATAGGTCGGTTTTGAAAAATCATAAGGATAAATATAAAATAATATTTTTTAAGTTAAACGAATTTATTTAAAAAAAAACAAAGGCTCCATTGGTTTTTGATGATTTTTACCAACCTTTGGTTTTCCGTATCGGTGTTAAGTGTGATATTCTTACTAACCTAATGTAACTCATCTCCTTTATTTAGCCATTTCAGATCAAAAAAACCAAAATCCAGATCTCAAATTACAAAAATATTGTAAATAGAAGTTGTCTCCTGCATCCTATTAGAGTTGCCCAGGAAGGTCAATTCTATAGGATTTTTAGTTATATTTTTTTTATTTATTCCGTTAGTTAAACTTCTTTAAAAAAACATTTTCGTAATCCTATTGAGCATCTTGATTCTACTGTGTAAGTAATGTAAATCATAAACTCTAAAATTGTTTCTGCTTATAGTTACTTAATTTAATGTTTTCTTATTCAATAAATTACGGGCCTTTACAACATGTGTTTACAAATGACTAAAGCTTGCATCCAGAATTTCCTAATCTTATAACAAGATGAACATAATTACGATCAATAACCTATATCTGCATCATCCCAGTTCTTATCAGCATGAGTTTACACATGACCAAAGCTTGCATCTAGCGTTTCCTAACCTTACAACAAGTCGAACATAATCACAATCAATAACCCATATACAAATCATATCAATTCTTATCAGCATGAGTTTACACATGACCAAAGCTTGCAATTTGCATCCAAGTTTCCACCTTAGACAATTACATAAAGTACAAGTTTTGAGTGAAAGGCACTATAAGCTTTGGCACATTATATAAATATATGATCATTAATGGATCCCCAAAAGCAACAAAAGGTTTTGTTCATCTAGGGAGGTAAATGTCCTAATAGTTGTTATCATCTAAATTGTCCTAGTAGTGCAAAAAAATAATACGCTAGATTAGTAAAATTTTTACTACTATGAACTACTATAATAATTGTGCAATTTTAGTTTCTCAGTATGCTTTAGGTAAATCTAAAACTATTTAAGAACAATAGTTAGTTTTATGAGATTTTGAGTTTATTAGGATTAGAAACATTTGCCTTCCTTTTACTAGTAATGATATTTTCCCCATTCGTTTTTAATCATTATCGTCATAAATGCCAGTAATAAAGAGAATATGTAGATACATTCATTACTAATTCCCTCGATAATTTTCCTACGTATGCCTCTCTTGTGCCTCTTTTTTTCCCTCCCTAAATTCCTCTTATCTCTCTTTTGTCCTACTTCAATTGATACTAAAGCAACACATACTATATCATGTAGGCAAATATATCAGTGAAAAAATTAATCCGTATAAGTTTCAAAAGCATTTGAAGAAAGTCATCTAATATTCAGATAAAGCAGCAAGCACAAATGAGATTATGCAAAGTTAACAGCAGAAATCCAGCACTAACCATCTTGTGTCACTAGAGGGTAATCCGATGCACTGAGGTTTAAAAACCAGTCCCAATCCAAGCTCTCCTTCAACAAAATTGCAATCGCTTGAAGTGTACAAGCAATCATAGTAGGACCCTTATAAGTCACCAAATTAGACTGTGCCATTACTCGAACATTTTCCACTTCTCGGAAAATAGGTTCATTCTTCACAGACATTGCCAATTCCAGTCTTTCACGAGGCGGAGCCTCGAGATCCAAATGCAGAATGTACTGATTTCTAGGATGATACACGGCCAGCAAAGTCCTCATCATTCTTTGACTATCACCCTTCGTCCCTGAAATCAAATATGCTAGTCTAGGTGCTCCTACTTTTAACAACTCACTCAAGTTGAAGGACTGATTTATATCGGATTCCACAAAATACCCCCTTGAGTCCTCTGACCGGGCAAATGAAATTATATCAAATGGCAACTGATCTCCACCATAAGGAGCAGTAAACAAACCAAAAATGGCTGACATTAACAGAATAATGGACACGAGTAAGCTTGTATAAAATGGGATTATCCATTTTCTATCACTAAACACCCTTCCTGAGTGAACATTTACATTCTTCCTCATACTTGTAAATGGGTATTTAATAAACCCTAATTTCCTATATAGTTTTCTCATTCTGACTACCAAAATTTAAGCTGAACAATCACCTAGAATCAAACCAGAAATGCTCAAAATCAGAGCAAAAAACCCTAGTAATCTTTCGAGTTAAAAGAGGATAACAGAGAGCAGTAAAGTATTTAAAGCTGAAACCTTTCTAACTGTATGTATAAATCCAATATAATAGGTTTGCAATTAAAATGGAAACTTGCCCAAATCGCTATCTTAAAAGCTGAAACGGAGAAGTATTTAGAGCGGATTAAGAATGTAACATACGAAATTAAACAAATCCGACAAAAGAGGGAGAAAAAAACGAACTTTACTCTAAACTGCCCTAGATCTAACCAGTAATAACTCAGAAAAAAAAAAAAGGGGGGTAGGGTATAGAGAATAAAGAAGAGAGCTTTAGTGAAGATATGCTTAGAGTCTAAGTTTCACATGCGTAAAAAAGAAGAGAGTTTTAAATATAGAAAAAGACAGAGGTAAGGAAAAAGAGAACAAAAAGAGTTGAAGATAGCGAAAGGGAAGATGATAAACAGAGATGCTTACTTAGTTTCAGAATGTCAATAAAGAGTTACAGAGTGGAAGAAAGGTAAAGCTAAAAACTCCATTGTTGACTGCTTCAAAATAGCGAGAAGTTCTAGAGGATTTTACCTAATGGAAGTTGATGATCGAACTAAGCTTTTTGGCTTTAATTATCTGCTTGAATATTAAATCTAGTTTGTGAGGATGTCCCACGCGATTTGAGAGAGCGTGTGATCGTTGTTTCGGACAAGGAGATACGCGCGTGTGCGAGTGATGAAGAAAATGAAGATAAAATTTTTGACAACTGCAGTCTCGAATTTTACTAAACAAAATTATTAATAAGTATTTATCAATTTGGATAAAATGTTAATTGAAAAGAATAATTAACTAAATTTTAAATATATTTAAAATTGTATATATATGTTATAAATATTTACAATTTATATTAGATACTCTTTTAGCTTTTTAAAAATTTATTTATGAATATAAATAAATAATTTGATAACATTCTAAAAAAATATTTTATCAAAAAATAAAATTTAATTTGTTTTCGTCGTTAAGTGAAGTAAAATCTACTTTTTTGCACGATTTTCTCTATGTTTATCTTTTGGCAAGTTAATTTATAAATTAATTTTTCGTCAACAACGACCTCACCATGGCAGACGAAGTGAACATGGTTGCCCTCATAATCACAGAGGCGTAGGAAGGAGGATGGGACATATCATAAGAGAGTTTAGATAAACGGGAATCCTATGAACTTTGCCTAATTGAATGATTTTTTATATAAACAGTAGTGAAGTTTGAATTTATGAATAACATTCTTACATATATTTAGCGGCCGCTGGGAGGAGTAAACATCAAAGATCTGGAGTCGGAGAAGATTTTGTTTCGCTTCTTCTACGAAGTGGATATCTAGAAAATTATTAACAACAGACATTTGAAATTCAATAACTATTTGTTGGTTACACATAAGTTGCAAGTTGCAAGATAACTAGGGTTTTCGAAAAGTTAAAATTGTGACAAGCCACTTATAGGTTCAAATACACTATTTACTTTGCATAATGAATGTATGTGGAATTGAAATTTATTAATAATTTTGTGGGTATTAAATAAATTTTAAGCTTACGCTATGGGCCCCACATTTAGTGAGGGTGGGGCCCGTCGCGTGCCCAAGTACCGGTAACGTGTAAGTGAGGAAGTCTTCACAAGGTAAACTCTCTAAAAAATTCAATCACTATATGATTAGTTTTATTCCAATTAGCTTTTACAATTTTGATTGTGGAGGTAATTGTGATTTATTATGACCACTTTTATTTATTATAAATAAATTAGCAAAGTTCAACTATAAAATACGAAATTTTAATATATTATATAAATTAATAAATGATTTTTTTTACATTTACATAATTGAATTATCTAATTTACCATTGTAGTTATATATATATATTTAAAAAAAAAAACTTATATCATGATATTTATTTTGTGAAATGACAAGTATATAATCAAACTATTGCTTTTTCCTAGAATAATTTTTTTTTTTTTTTTTTTGGGGTGAATTTC